TTTGTGAGACTGAGACCACAGCACCCTCCCTGTCACACACATTTCACTGATGGCTACAGTCCCGTTCAGAACACACAAAGTCCTCTGAGTCTCGTTTAAGGAAGAGCTGTGCTTTACACACAGACAAACCCATTAAAACATTTGTGTTCTAGGCCGGGCGCAGTGGCTCAAGCCTGTAATCCCAGCACTTTGGGAGGCCGAGCGGGTGGATCACGAGGTCAAGAGATCGAGACCATCCTGGTCAACACGGTGAAACCCCGTCTCTACTAAAAATACAAAACATTAGCTGGGCATGGTGGTGCATGCCTGTAATCCCAGCTACTCAGGAGGCTGAGGCAGGAGAATTGCCTGAACCCAGGAGGCGGAGGTTGCGGTGAGCCGAGATTGCGCCATTGCACTCCAGCCTGGGTAACAAGAGTGAAACTCCGTCTCAAAAAAAAAAAAACAAAAAACATTTGTGTTCTTTCTGATTCTATCAGATATCTAGTGTGTCATTTTGCATGAACTACCAAAAAAGGATTTTTATTTTATTTGTTTATTTTTTGAGACAGAGTCTCTCTCTGTCTCCCAGGCTGGAGTGCAGTGGCACGATCTTGACTCACTGCAACTTCTGTCTCCCAGGTTCAAGTGATTCTCCTGCTTCAGCCTCCTGAGTAGCTGGGATTACAGGCATGCGCCACTACACCCAGCTAATTGTTGTATTTTTGGTAGAGACAAAGTTTCACCACGTTGGCCAGGCTGGTCTTGAACTCCTGACCTCAGGTGATCCGCCCATCTCTGCCTCCCAAAGTGCTGGTATTACAGACATGAGCAACCGCACCCAGCCTGTAATGCAGTTCTTAACTGGTGACTCTGGGATCTGGGCTGTGTCGTCTCATCTCCGGTGACAGCCAAGGTTGCCTGAGGTCAGGAGTTGTAGAATCACTTGCACCCAGGAGGCGGAGGTTGCAGTAAGCCGAGATCGCACCGCTGCACTCCTGCCTGGGTGATGGAGTGAGACTCCATCTCATAAAAAAGGATTTTTAAAAGACAAAAATCTTGCATAACCGCATTCCCCAAAAGCGACTATTATTAACATACTGGAACATTTTTTTCTGGCCTCTGTCCTTGTGCTCATGGTGAACAAATCGGTGTCAGCAGCACCTCAATGAGCTCTGCGCCCTGGGCAGGTTGGGGTTGGGTGGGCTGCCTGAGTGGTGACAGCCCTGCTCAGGCAGGGACCCCAAAGGCCCCTGGACAGGTGCAGGGGGGTTGTGGGGGCTCCCCAGGGGCTGATGGAATTCTGTGGCCCTGTCACTGATCACTCGGGATCTGTGATGCTGCGTGACCGGGTTACACACCTGGGCATTCCGTGGGCATTTCTGTCCCCAGGCATTTGACCAAGCAGTGACCAAGGACACCTACATGGCCATTGGCTTCTTCCAGCGAGGAGTGGCCAACTTCCAGCTGGGGAGGTGAGCACAGGGGCACCTTGTTCCTTCTCTGACGGCCCTTTGTCCCCCTGCAGAGTCCACTCCTGCCCTCCCTCCTCCTCCCCTCCACCGGCTCCCTTCTCGTGCCCCCCCTCCTCCTGGTTCCTGGCTTCAGGGAAAGCTGGGCAGAGACTCTGGCCCTCCCCTCTGCTCAGCGCCACCCTTGGACGGTGGTCGGGTCCTCACTGCTTGCTCGGGCTCTCTGCACCGTGTTCCTTCCTAGAGGAGGAATGAGGGAAGGGTGACCATCAGATGCAGGCCAGGCCCTGCCTCGGCCTCTGCCCAATGCTCTAAGGCCCATGCCAGGAGGGCAGGCTCTGCGGGGAAGTGGATCAAATCCTGAAAGACTTGCAATCCTGAAATGTCAAAATCCCTGAAGTCTAAAATCCCCAAAATATAAAAATCTAGAAAAAATAATTAAAATTCTCTAAAACAAATTTATTTACTTTTTTTTTTAAATACTGAGACAGAGTCTCACTCTGTTGCCCAGGCTGGAGTGCAGTGGTGCGATCTTGGCTCACTGCAACCTCCGCCTCCCGGTTCAAGCGATTCTCCTGCCTCAGCCTCCCAAGTAGCTGGGATTACAGGTGTGTGCCACCACGCCCAGCTAATTTTTGTATTTTTAGTAGAGATGGGGTTTCACCTTGTTGGCCGGGCCGGGGTCTTGAACTCTTGACCTCGTGATCCACCCGCCTCCCAAAGTGCTAGGATTACAGGCATGAGCCACTGTGCCCGGCCTATTTACTTTTTTTTAAAGAGATTTATTTCAGAAACATAAAAACATGACCGAACCCTTCATCGGCCAATAAAATAGGCAAAAATAACATACATACATACAAACTCATGCACGTTAGCAACAGGCTCACAGGCGTGAGAGCCACCAGCAGATGAACTGTGCTCATGATGAGCTGGGTGAGGAGGGGAACTCACACGTGTGCGTAGGAGGTGAGACGGGGAACACGCATGTGCATAGGAGGTGAGACAGGGAACGCGTGTGCGTAGGAGGTGAGAAGGGGTAACATGCGTGTGCGTAGGTGAGATGGGGAACACACGTGTGCATAGGAGGTGCGACGGGGAACTCGCGTGTGCTTAGGAGGTGAGACGGGGAACACGCGTGTGCGTAGGTGGTGAGACGGGGAACATGCGTGTGTGTAGGTGAGACGGGGAACGCGTGTGCGTGAGACGGGGAACGTGTGTGCGTGAGATGGGGAACACGCGTGTGCAGAGGAGGTAAGACGGGGAACATGCGTGTGCGTAGGAGGTGAGAAAGGATAACACGTGTGTGCGGAGGTGAGACGGGGAACACACATGTGCATAGGTGAGAAGGGGTAACACGCGTGTGCGTAGGAGGTGAGATGGGGTAACACGCATGTGCACAGGTGAGACAGGGAACACGCGTGTGCGTAGGAGGTGAGAAGGGTTAACATGCATGTGTGTAGGTGAGACGGGGAACACGCGTGTGCATAGGAGGTGAGAAGGGGTAACGCGTGTGCGTAGGAGGTGAGAGGGGTAACGCGTGTGCGTAGGAGGTGAGACGGGGAACTCGCGTGTGCGTAGGAGGTGAGACGGGAACTCGCGTGTGCGTAGGTGAGACGGGGAGCACGCACGTGCATGAGAGACCGTGGCTGGTGGCTGTGTGCACCTGCCTTTATAGCTGCAGCCATCAGAACACCAGGATGAACAACCCGTCCTCTAAGCAGCTCCGTCAAAGGCGCAGGGGACACCACGTGTGCCGCCGCCCAGAGAGGCAGGGTCTCAAACAGCTTCTCTCTCAGAAAGGCAGAGGACAAAAAGGCCACCTCCTCCTTTACTGAGGAAGTCCCAGGACTGTGCCTCTCTGGATTAGGGTCCAGCCCCCCGGGCAGCCTCACCTTCAGATCAGCAGGGGAAGCCTGCCTGGGGGAGGTGAGGAAGGAGGCTCAGAGTTTGCAGGGGGAGCCCCCACAGGGTGGGGAGGGGGCTGAGAAGCAGGAGGGAAGTAACCAGGGCACTCTGCACAGTTCAGAAGAGAGGTGGGGGTGCGACCCCGCATCCGCTCAGCACCCACCAGACCTGAGTGTGGAGACCTGGGCACCCCACTGCCCTCCCCCGGAGGGGGCGGCTGGGTGGGGCTGGGTGCGAAAGCTGCCCTGCACTGCTGAGGGACCCTGGCTGCCCACAGGTTCCAGGAAGCCCTGTCTGACTTCCAGCTGGCCCTGGTACAGCTGAGGGGCCACGCTGCCATCGACTACACACAGCTGGGCCTGCGGTTCAAGCTGCAGGCCTGGGAGGTGAGGCGCAGGGCTCACTGTGCTGCATGCTGTGGGCGTCCGCGGGCGGTGGCACCGTCACCAGAGGGCCCTCGGGCTGGGGAGCGCCTCTGGCTGAGGCTCTTGGTGCCATGGAACCCCTTGGGCACTCCATGACCTGCAGGAGGGTTCTGGTGGCACTGAAGGTGGGGGCACCCCCATTTTGTGCCATTTCAGGCCACCAGGGGTGGCTCTACCCTGGAGAAGGGCAGAGGCAAAAGGCTGCTGGGTGGACAGGATCAGGCAGGGGGTCGTGCCCACCGTCCACTGTGTACCCAGCCCTTTCCTGGCTGCCTGGAACATGTTGGCACTAAGGGAGGGGCACTGAGAGGCCCCCGCCAGACCCCAGGAGATGCGCTTCCGGGAAGCCTTGCGGGATTAGCATTGTCTTAAGATGAAAAATGGAAGGGAGAGCCCACTGGGTAAGGGGTCTGGAGTCAGGGTTAAAGCCAGGGAGGCGGGGGTCCACCAGCCCAGAGCATAGAACGGTGCAGGGGAGGGGTGGGGGGGAGTGGGGAGGAGTTGGGTGGGGGAGCCAGGGCAGGCGCCAGGGGAAAGGGTCACGCCCCTGCCATCACCTTGGCCTCGCTCCCAGGTGCTATACAATGTGGCATCAGCACAATGCCAACTGGGGCTCTGGACAGAGGCGGCCAGCAGCCTAAGGGGGGCCATGTCCAACTGGCCGGAGGGGTCCCTGAATGGCCTGGAGTCGGCTCTGGACCAAGTGCAGGTGAGGAGTGCTGTCCTGGGTCTGGGTTTTGGGTGGGTGTCTACCACAGCCCCTCAAGACCAGCTTCCTGAGCTGAAGAAGCTTCCAGAGGGAGGTACCCTAGTGCCCAGTTTTGGGGGCCAGGCAGGGGCTTCACATGGCCTGCAGGAAGGAGGCGGGGGCCCACGTGGCCCCTCCTGCTGCAAGGCACAGAGGCTGTGGGCTGCAGGCCTGGCTGGTCACCCGGTCGGTCGCCCGGTTGGCATCTGCTGGACGCCCACCCTCTCCAGAGACAAAGCTTGCTGCCACTGAGGCAGGTCCCCAGGGGCGAGGTCTTCCGGCCCCACCGGCGGCACCTGGACCATCTGGAGCCCATGGATTTCCTGGGCAAGGCCAAGGTAAAGGTGAGGGCAGCATCCCGGGCATCACAGCCGGTGCTGAGCCCTCAAACTGTGTCCCCAGGGACATGGGGGTACAGCCCAGGCCACCACAAAGACCAGGAGGGTGGGGAGTGGGCCCACAGCCATCTGCAAGCCGTGACCAGAGTGGGGGGGGTGCTGTGAACTTGGAGGCGGAGCCCACTAGAGCCAGCTGCATGGAGGGGGCTTCTGCTCTCCCAGCAAGGACCCTGCCGTGCCACCCCCACCCAGCCTCGGCCACAGCCACAGCCTCATGTTCTCCCCGAGTCCCCCCATCCTCCCAGAGTCCCCCCATCTTCCCAGAGTTTCCCCGAGTCCCTCCATCCTCCCAGAGTCCCCCCATC